CACCGCGGTGCTGCCCCCCCCGGGCTGAGCCCCCTCCCCTCCGGGCCGGTCGCCGGGGCCGCCCCTACCTGTGGCTGCAGCATCCCCGTCCCCCCGCCGCCCTCGCTCCGCCGCCTGCCTGGCTCTTTGTTTCCTGCCGCGGGCCGGACGGGAGAGCGGCTCCCCCCCGCCTCCTCCTCACACTCATTGAAAGCAAACAAGCATCATGGCGGCGCTGGCGGCGGCGGCGGCGGCTGCGGGCGGGCCGGCCCCCCTCCTCCTCCTCCTCCTCCTCCTCCTCCTCCTCCTCCGCCTTCCTCTCCTTCTCCTCCTCCTCCTCTCCCTCTCTCCGCCCCGCCTGCCCAGGCCGCCCGCACTGCGCGGCCGCGGAGAGGAGCGCGGGGAGGGGGCGCAGCAGCGCTGGAGAGGGTCGGGGGGGGGGGGGGGGGGGGGGGGGGGGGGGGGGGGGGGGGGGGGGGGGGGGGGGGGGGGGGGGGGGGGGGGGGGGGGGGGGGGGGGGGGGGGGGGGGAGGATGAGGAGGGAGGAGTTTGGGGGGATTTTGGGGTACGGCCTCAGGAACCGAGGAAGGGAGGAGGGTAGTGGGTGAAAGTAACGTCACGAAACCGGTGCAAGCGGGTGTGTGGCAGGGAAAGGGTTCCGAGCGGGAGCGAGTGGAAATAGTAGCTTGTTTGGAAAATAACTTTTTAGGTTCTCCTGCAAAAGCCCAAATAGGGAGCTCAGCCTTGCGGTGGATGAGCTCAGGCGCGGTGCGGGTGGTGGGCCTGGATGCTTTTTAGGAAAGGGAATATATTTTCCTCTATGTTTGTGTCTTTGCTGGCAAGCCAGGGCCTCGGATCCTCTGCTGTGACATTTTCAGGAGCAATGTTTTCCGTGAAATGTCCCCCAGAATTGCCCAGCAGCACCTTTCTGAAACTCAGGTTGCAGCTTGTGTAGTGTTCTCTCTTCAACATGTTAATAGATGCAAATAAAGATATATAGAAAAATAAAGCATATTCCTGTTAAATGTTATTACCATCGCTGTGCAACAAGACTTTACACTGTGATGAAAGATGGTAAGGGAAATGGTGGTGGGGAAGTGCCATCCATGGCGTAGTGCTAGCAAAAATCATAAATAATGACTTCCAAATCCAGGATTTCCGTAGTTTTTCAGGCAGTTAAAATGTTCAAGCATTGGTGGTACAGCATCAAATGAGCACTTGGTGCACACCACGTCATCCAAAGGAATAGTAAAGAGAAAGGCATTGTCCCACATTTAGAGCCCTGTCTCTGATCTGGGAAAGCTGAATAAGAATTGAAGGCTCCTCTGCTTAGGCATAACTGGATATGTAGCTGGAAATAAATGGCACTTACACTGTTGTGCAAACAAGGCATTCTCTTTCAACATAATTGAGTGAAGAATGGTACCTGGTTGAGTTTCTGAGGAGCACCACCACAAACCAGCGAGGGCAGTGCTTTGAAAAGCGTGACCCTGGCCTGCTGCAGACCAAACCCGCTCACAGAACGTCCTCCACAGAAAGGTTGAGCCCTTTGACACTTCGTTGGAAATAACCCTGCTATACTTCAGATTTCTGTTCAGCCTTATCAGATCATGTATCTGAAATGCTCTCAGATGATAAACTATCTCCTCGCCTCATGGTGCAGTCCTGTGCTGGAGATACCCGAGCCTGCTCCATTACGGATGTGCACGGGCTCTGGCAGAGTGTCCTATCTGCTTCCCGGGCTTGGCTGGCTCTGGAGAGCTGACAGTCATTCAGAACTGACTCGAGTAGCTCTACATGTCATTCTCCTGCACTGCATGTCTTTTCTTTCCGATAAGCAGCTGTCCTGCACATTCTTCAGTTAATACTTTCTGGGTCAGATATGGCCTCAATAGACTATATCATTTTGCCCAGAGCTAATTCTCCAAAAGCAGGGGGAAAGTCTTTGAATACGTTGCAGGATTTTCCAGGAATTGCTGCTCAGCAAAGAAAATTTAGTTGATCATAAGTCTCTCGAAAAATGCTTGCAGGGAAACTTCATTCCTCAGGGATGGATGCTGGGGTAATATTACATTAGACATGGAAAGGTCTACTTGCAAGGGCCTTCTTCACTGCAAGTGAGAACAAATGGCAGAAAATACTGAAAAAAGAGCATTAGGGGAAATAATTTTAAAGCAATTAAAAATAATTCTGTATTATTATTGCCTGTTACACAGAGTAACAGGAGGTCACACCAATTTGGCAGATTTCAAGTTAATGAACTTTGCAATAATGCTACAAGTTATTTATAAAAAACCAGCAATATTTGAAGATCCTAAAGTTACGGCCTTTTATGTAAACAATTCTTCTTTGAACTGCCAGCTTGTGTGGTTTGAAACAGCAGAAAGAAGTAAAAACAGGTATGTGGTTTGTTTTTTGTTTTTTGTTTTTTTAGAAACTGTTATGTTCTACTTCTTCCTGTGCAGAAGTGCTGTTGCTCCTCTGTATATATGATTAATTTTTGCTCCCTGAAAGTGTTATCAGACCTGTAACCAGGCAAACAGCAGAGCAGATGGCCAGTGCCAGTATCAGTGTTTCTGGTCTGGGTGTTTAATGAGATCTGAGAGTGTAACATGAGCCTCTTTCATTTTGTCTGTCTCGCATGGCAGATATACTTGGTGCAAGTGCTCTTGTTGCTCAAGGTCACAGATTCATCAATCAAAAGAGAGCCCTTCCCATTAATCTTTTACCTGCCCATGACAGTTTCCATACGTCTCAGGAGCTGCCATGTCGCACGCAGCGCCGTTGTCCCGAGTTTGGGACAGTGCTGCTGTGAAAGACAGGTTAGAGCAGAAATTAGTCACTTTAAAACACAATGTTAAATTTACCGTACTCTGAGCATAAGTTTTCATTCACTGATCCTAAAAAACTTACCTTTTTGTGCTGTGGAATAAGCCTTGAGTTGGGCCAAATCTCACTTGTGGCACACAATCATGTCCTGCAACATTTCTGACCTTACAGCTGGAGACAGAAGTATTTGCTGTGAGTAGATTAAAGAATTTTAGCAACCCCACCATGTCCTCTGTTGCACACATCCAAGGCTGGAGCTGTGCCTGGGAGGCCTCAGGGAGGGCCACTTGGTCCATCTCACCAACACTTACAGCTGGTTTGAGGTCCTGGTGCCTCTGTGCACTGACAGAGGGATGTGAAACTTGTGGCAGAGAGTTATCTTTGTGGCTGAGCTATGGTACATTCTGCTTTGTTTGAATTGCCAAATTTGGTGAAGTTATACTCTTAAAATATCTATGTACAGGTGCACAGTAGAGGCTTGTGTGACTTCTAAGTTCTTTGTAGTAAAAGACATATCCTTCATCCTGCGTGGCTCATACATCAGCACCCCAGAGAACAGGCACGGAGGTGTCATGGCTTGTGGAAGCTCGTGTGTTTGGGGTTACAGAAGAGGTGACCAAGGAAAGGCTCACTCCTCTCTGCTCCCCCCCTTTCTGTGCCAGGAAATGTGACAAAATACAGTGTAACTGGAGGCAGGAAATTAGTCGGGGAGGAGAGCAGAGTTTTGGTAAAGTAGGGGAGATAATGAGGAGGAAAGAAGGGAGTAACTGGGAGAAGAAGGAGAGGGATCCCAAATAGGAGGGCAGAGCTTAATTATTGTCTACATTTTTAGTCTGTATAGGCAGAGAGGCAGGAAACTGCAGGATAGCTTCCATGGCTGTTGAGATCAGTGGGATAACTGCTCTGAACGTGGGATATGCCTAAAATGACAGGTACTCTGAAAAATGAGGACTTGGAGCACTCATATTGTGCTTCTGAAATCATTGCATTTTTAATGATTTCAGCCTTAAGTTTTATGGCCTGTTCTCCATCTACTGAGTGAGTGTAAGAGCATCTTCTGTCACAGCTGGATAGTAAAGATAAATCTTTGATGTTTATTGAGCATTAAAGCTACAGTGAAAGCTCCATACAAAAAGCATTGAGGCAATTAATATTCCTCTGCATGGAATGGAGTTCAGTGGTTTCCAGAAGACTCGTATGTAAAAAGGTAATTGAAAACTCCCCTTATGCATATCCACAACAGAGATGAATTCAGGAATTTTAATCCTGGAATGGCACAATTTGTAGGTAAGGGCTTTGCAGCCTTAGAATTACTTTAATATCCATGTTAGACAAAAGTAGACTAAGTGCTTGAAAAGAAACTGAATATGATCAAAAGCTTTCTTTCTAGAAATAACTGCATTTTAGTAGGAAGACTTCCACAGCAAGAGAAGAGTTTCTAACTCCTTTTTGCCAGTTATGGATGCTACTATTTAACACTGCCACCACCTGAGATGCTTGTATACCATATGTAGATGACTCTTATAATTATTTAGGTATTTGACCTGTTTTCACGATTGTAGCAGTTTAAAATGAGTCTTGTTCTCTACCTCAAGCTGCAGGTCTGTGGAGCATTTAGTCATTAATATATTCTAGTGTGTGCATTTGTGCTGTACTGTAGCAGCGAAGTAACAGATCTGAGAATGTCGTAATTCTTACTTGTCCTAATCAAATATTAAAATCTGAATGCTGTTAAGAAGGTGGATTTATGAGCCACGATGTTGTTTATGCTATTGCCATTTTTTAGATACAGGCTGGTTCTTACAGACTTTTGTCTCTAGAATCACCTCTCCACCTCTTGGTCACCTGTCTCCAAGAAGGTATCCATCTTTTTGTATGAAAACTAAGTTAATTACATGAAAGAAAAAGTTAAAGGTATGACCTGTGTGCATTCATTATGTGGGCAGAGCTCCTGGTTGCATTCAGAGCTCTGCAAAAGGAGCACAAGGCTTTGCCTTTCACAGCGAGAGCTTTTATGTGTGTGAGTGAATAGAGCAAATTGCTATGAAATACCTGAATGCCCAGTTATGGAGTCGCAACTGAGAAGTTAAATGCCAAATAATGGCGTTATTGATGTAAGATGGAAGAATTCTCATTAGTGGAAAACAAGTGCTCAAACAAACCCATCCAGATTTTTGGTCTTTTCTACCATACCCTCTTCTCTCTGTACCCATTTTGGCGTTTTGTTTTTTTTTTTTCCCCTCCCTTCTTCTGTCAGCATCTTATTTTTCATCTCTATTCATTGTTGCTTTCTATGCTTCTCTCTAGCAGCAGAAACATATTTACTTGCAAGCTGATCCCATCTGTGCTCCCGCGCTGCAAAGCTTCCCCCCGCCGTGGCACTGCGCGTCTGATGGAGCTTCCCGCCATGGCTAAGGAAGCTCCAGCCTTCCAGAGTGCCAGGATTTCACACCGTGGATCAGGTGGGCAGGGCACCCCCGCCTGGGCATGGTTGGAAAAAAAAAAAAAAAAAAAAAAAAAAAGAGGGTGGGCAGTTTTTCTTGTGTAAGAAAATGCAATAATACCGTAATCATTTGTCGCCTGACCGTTCGCTGAAATGGAGGACTGCTGAACTTTTAATTTAATTGGGTCTCTCATGCTTGCACTGCTTCCTGCTCATGAACCAGAATATATGAGGACTATAACTCAAATATACACTAAGCTGTCCCTGCTGCAGTCTCATCCCTTGCAAATTAAGTAGGATCAGGACTCAAAAGAGATAACTAAGGAGACCTATGTCCTGGAGGAAATTACCGTGAATTACAGAGTTATGGTTTCTCTCTTAATAAAAAATGAACTAATGCTCCAGTGTGACACTATGGAACTCTTCAGTTTATAAAGGTACTGTCTTTCAGGAAATATATATGTTAATCCAGCTGTCATGCATAAATCCGCATTTGGGGTCTGATCTAATTCCCATTGAAGTAGAGATGGACTCAATCTACTTAAATTTCTCCATGCAGTTTCACGGCTTTCCACTATCTTCATCTGTTGTATCACATTACTGTGTGTGGGTAGAGTTGCCACATTCCACCCATGACACAACTGTTTCAGTGGCAAGTGAAGTGATACGTGCATATGGTACACGCAGTCTTTACACAAACCGTATGCTTTCAGACAGCTATCTGTGTAACTGGGGGAAGTTTTAGAGGCTTCCTGAATAAAAATCCATTTGCTGCATTATTAGAAGACGTAGAAAACTTTGTTTATCATTCGCACGACCTTACTTGTGGCATTTGTGGGACAGAATGAGCGATTTATTGTTTACCTTTTGTAAATTTGTAACTCGGATTAATTACTTTGAATGGCAAGGAAATGGTTGCATGGAGGTTTTGGAATTGATCTCTCTACTTTTATTATTTATTGCATCAAATCTTAGGCCTAAATTTTGCTTATATAACAGTAAGTAACTTCACACAATTTCCAGTTACAGTTATACATTGTCTTCTTTTTGCTATGTGCTTCACATTTCCAAGATGTTGAATGTCCTCACTGCTGAATGTTTTGTATAGGAGATCATTATTTATCTGAAGAATTTTGGCTGAGGACAGTCTCTAGTGGGGAAAAAAAAACCCTCCAGAGAATTTATAAAGTACACTTTAATCCTGAGGCTATTATAGGCCTACTATTCTTTTTTTTTTTTTTTCATTGGTGGTTACAAAAAAAAATTACAAAACGACTGAATAAATTTAGCAGGTCATTAAGTGTGGCTATTTCTATATTATCTGAATTGACAAAATACTTTCCTTAGGACATTAGGTTTGCAGAGAGGGGGAACAACCTAAATAAGTGTGGGCGTGTACGTGTCTGTGAGCTGCTCACCAGAGGGTGCCCCTGCAGCCAGAGGAGGCCACAGTGCAGATCCTTGGGGCTGTAATTTCTTTCTGAAGGCTTTGAAGGACAGGCATTGGAGCTGAAATCATGAAACTGGAAGAGGTTTGTTTCCAAGCATGGGGAGACCCCAGTGGGCTGAAGGAACGCGGGGCATTCGCTGCTGCGAAGGGGAGGGGGTGACTCAGTGTCTGCAGCTAAAAGGCTGCACCACAGAACAGCTTTTTGCTCAGAAAAAAAGGGGTGAAAATCATTGCCTGCTTCCCAGGTGATCACTGCAGGTCACAGGCAGAAAATTTGCCCATTACAGCTGGTGATTGGCGTGGTACATTTAGGCTTTTCCGCTCCTTCCAAAATACTGGGCACTTTGAATGAATGCCTCCAGGAGGGGCAAAATGCCAAGCTGAACAAGCCACCGATCTGACCTGCTGGTTTTTAACTCTGTGTCCAGAATTGTTGGTCTGCAAGATTTAAAAAAAAAAAAAAAAAAGTTGTGGGATTAAAAAAAAAAAACCAAAATGTTTGAGCCTAATGCAGCAGGCTCAGGCTAAATCACATTTCCCAAAGTGTGGCTTTCAATATCAAGCCTACTCCTGAGGAACTGGCAAATGCTCAACGAGCACAACACGGAGACAACTGGCAGCCTGAGTCATTTTCACATGTGATTGTTGAATGTGACAGATTGAGAATAGCAAGGAGTACGAGTTCATGCTATGAGAGTGAAGTAACCCAGCATCCTCTCGCTGGCTCGAGCCTGCAGAGATGTGGAGTGCTGCGGCAGAGAAATGCCACCGAGGCTTTGGAGAAACGGGTTTAGCACACATGTTATTTTCTTCCTTTGCTCATTTTTGTTCCACCCTAGAATGTTTCTTTCTTCTGTTTATGGCAGATGGAAAGTAAGAGAAAAACCCTTGACACGTGTTTGTAAAGCCTGGATTGACATTTAACTTATTCCCCTTTTTACTTTTTCTCTGAATATCTTTTGTCTTTCTGCTTACACTGATGCTGTGTTGGCTTTTTTATTCCATGGTGGTTACTGCTCCAGCATGTTGGCTGCACAGAAGCAATTTCAGGGGGCACTTGCTTACAGAAATGGTCCCTTCCAAACCAACCTGGTGTGGTTTTCTTTCAGAGCAAACTGCAACAGGCTGGGGAAGTCCAGGGAATTTACCGAAAATCTCCGCTGAAATCCAACCTTCTGTTGCAGCTGATCAGAATATTATGGCTGAGTAATTTATTAATTAAATGTAGCCATGCTTTATTTTCATACATGTTCTTGGAAAAGGCAACTTCTTCCCAATTTCTTACTCATAAATGTTCAGTGTGTGGTCTCTGCCAGCATGGGGCTTGTCTGTCATGTGTCCTGCACTGAGCTGGTGTTTGGAGTCTGCTGCTCACCTCTGTAACACTGTATGTCAGGAATGACTTCATTTAATCCTTGTAGAACAGTGTGGTTGATTAATGAGTTGTAGAGGTGGTTTGAAGGCGTTGGATGAGAGGCACTGGGGACCAGTGACATGTTGCAAAAGAAGCAGATGTAAAGACTTTGAGATGGTAGTATTGATGCCCAGGGGCCTTGCAAACACAGAAGCTTCTGCACAGGCCAAGAAGGATAAAGGTAGATTTTTGATCTGTCAAGAAGTTTTTTCATTCTTTTTGTCCTTTAAGATCTTATGTGTAACCATGGGTTCAGGACATATGTGGTTCTGGTTAAAACATTTGGAAACAATCCCCTTCTGTCCTTTAATTCTCTGTTTGTCAAGACTTTG